CCTGCAAAGATGGCACGGAGAGGAAGCGAGCAGGACGAGGCTTGACTTGTTTTGAAAACCTCCTGATTGGGTAAAGGACACTTCCCAGTCTCTGGGGATGTGTGATCAGTGCGTGATCATCGTTGATGTCTTTGGGACTCTGCCCATGCGGCGGATTGACCTTTAAGCCAATTGGATACAGTCGGGAGGGGACTTTCTGAGGGGATTTCCAGACTGCAGTTTTTGCCTATGTAAGCTCTGTGACACCTGCAATAAACGAGTTCCTGCCTGACTGGACTCCCTGTTGTGTCTGATTGTCCTCGTCGAGGAGGGCTGGTGGAACGGGTGTGGACAGCGCACTCACCTTTCCCTGACCCCCATTGCGGCAGGTCCCTCCGACCCCGCATTTCAGCATAACTGTTCAAGTTCCACAGCAACAAACTCTAAGCACTCAATGGCTTTTCCAGCCCAAAGTTCCAAATGCTTCCACAACCCTCTTTAAAACACCAAGGTCAGCTTTGTCACAGCAGTTCCCCACTCTCAGGTACCAATTTTTGTTCTGTTTTTTTTTTTTTTTCTCCATTGCTGTGACAAAACACTCTGACCACTACCAACTTGGGGAGGAAAGGGTTTGTCTTACGTCTCCGAGGTCACAGTTCATCAGTGAGCCCAAGGTAGGAGCTCAGGGCAGAAACCTGGAGTCAGGAGCTGGAGCGCAGGCCGTGGAGGATCACTGCTTATTGACTTGCTCCCCTGGCCCCTGCTTAGCCAGCTTTTCTTATGCCCAGGGGTGGCACCACCCACAATGGGCTGGGCCCTCCCAGATCACTCATTAATGGAGAAGATGCCTCACAGACATGGTGCAGGCCAGTCCAATGGAGGCAATTTACCAATTGAGACTCTCTTAACCCAAGTGTGTCAAGTTGACAACTAAAGCTATTCAGCACATAAGCCTCCTTTGCTTATGTAAGCAGACTGTTTAGCTTACTTGGTGAGTAGGCTGGGAGATACTTGTTAGGAAATTGGGAAGAATTCACTTGGAAGAACACATAGGATGGCTTTCAGCTAGGGAGTGGGACACCACCAGTTTGCTGGCTGGGAGCTTTTATGGGGTTTAGGTAATGTGGAAGGCAGAAAATTCAAACAGTTGCGGTGGGAAGCAGGAGTAAATATATCAGGGGAAGCAGTTTGTGCTGAGGCAGCTCTTGCAGCCATCGGGTCATGGGTACAGTGGCCTGTTTATCTTCTAAACTTAGGTGGGGAAACAGGCTATGTTGAAACTGTCTCCTGGTGGTGGGGGCAGCAGCTGCTGACTCAATTCCTGTTTTCAAGAGGCTTTACTGCACTGGAGGAGGGTTGCCTGCAGACCTGGACTACTGGCTTGTGCTCTCTGACTTGGTGTTTCTACATTATGCTTAATAAAAGGATTCTTCATTGGTCTTGTCTAATTTAATAGTGCAGGCTGAATTGGTAACATGGTTATGTGCCACACAACAATTTTCCTCTAAGGAAAAAACCTTCTATCTTGTAGAGAAGGGAAACTGTGAACAACAGGATGCTCTAAGGGAGGGTGGAAACATTCCACCCTGCAGAGAAGCTCTTTAAGCTCAGGAAGTAAACAACTAAATAAGTTGAGGAATTCTCTAAAATTGACCAGGTTCACTTGTCCTCTCCTTCCCCAAGCATATAAAAGTCCTAAAGACTATTGGCAGACATGCTCAGGTAAGCTGAGTTGCCTAGAAGAGGTTCAGACCAGCCTAAATTGCCTGGAAGAAATTAGAGACCAGCCAAGCTGCATAGAAAAAGCTAAGACCACTTTGCAGTACCTGGAAAGGACACTTCAAAGTGTTGAGCTGCCTGCAGGTTTCATGCTTTCATGAACTGTTGCCCATGCTGTAGTGAACTTTTGGTGGTGCAGCTGTCTTTTTAATAATTTCTGCCCTTGTTAGAAATCCCTCACTCATTCCTGTAGGTAACCCCAGTAAAACTTGTTGATTCACCAAGTTGGACTTCGGTAGTATCCTTACTTTGGTCTGTTGTTGGTTCCCTGTTAGATTTAGCAGAGCAGAAAAAGGAAGGAGTTTAAAGTTTAGAAATAAGAGCCACAGCCAGACCTGCAACAGGCAAGGAATGTGCTCTCTGGAAGCAGGGAACCCAATAAGGGGCTGATAAAAGCTGTTCCTTGAGGAACGATTATCTGAGTTCTGAATGGGGAGCAGTCTGGTCTTATATAGGAACTCTGCTGCACACAGCTGCAAGAGTTAACTCTGTGCCAGGATCTGGTGTCCTTGAGGGTTTGAGTTATCTATAGCACTAAAGGAGGCGGGTGGGCTCCACAAACAGTCTCTCTCAGGCCATGGAGTGACCGGTTGATAATGCTTGAGCAAGACTAGGCTTGAGCAATTTAGGGCCAGTTAGACAATTTAAGGGATTTATGGCTTTCCCTAATGAGGCTTGTGGCTCTTCTGCAATTCACGTATTCTGTCATTCCTTATCTGGGATGAGTAAACAGTTGTTTATGTCACACAGCACATGGAGGAAACAGTTGCAGAGCAGCAGCAATAACTGTGAGGAGGCAGGTTGAGCTGCAAAAAGTGGAAAGTTCATCTTAACTACTTGAGAGCTGAAGAAGAGACAGAAAAGTGGTTTCTGAGAGCAGTCAGGGTAGAAACAAGGGGAGATGATGGAAGTAGAGGGAGGACTGAGAGCTGAGATTGAAGAAGGATCAAAGTTTTGTAATGAGCTGGAAAAGAGAAACTGCAGGCCTTGGCTTCTGGCAAGTTTCAAGAGAGATGTTAAGCCTTTAGAGCAAAGGGTATTAGACACTTCAGGCTTAGGATGTATAAAAGTGGTTGCTGTCAAAAGTATGAAGAGACCTAATTCTTTGGCCCACCAGAAACCTATAGTGTCAGCCACTGCCAAGGGCTAAGGAGTCCTTAATTATAGTCTTAACACAAGAATGGACATTTAAAAGAGCTAGGGGTTCTAGTACCCTAGTCAACATCTTAAATTGTGGGTCATGTCTCTATATGGGATGATGTAACAACCTGGGAGGTTGTGACAACCTGGGTAGTAGTAAAAGATTTTTGAACATGTAATGACCAAAAATTCAGATTTAAACATGGAATGAATCCAAGGTGTTTCTGGTAGCTCTTGTAGGTGTTGTACTGAGTGTCTGATACCACAGGCTCTTTGCTTATATATGCTCTCATACTACATAATAGTAAAATATTTTGCCTGAAATACCTCCCTTTAGAGTTGAGACTGCTATGAATTACAGTGTTGTGTTAATGGAAATTACCACAGACTGACCTGGCCTATTGAGAAGACTCCAGCCTACTCAGGATAAAGGGGGAGTCACTATTATGTGCATGGGCCCCAGAATGGGCAAACCTGCACCAGAGGTACCAGAAATACATACAGATTTTATAGGATTTTTCACATCATCCCTCGGCAGTAAGCATAGAGGTGGATTTGAGACTTCCAGCACAGAAGTATATATCTGCCTTAGGTCATTATAAGAAATTTAAACAGTGTTTTTACAAAGAATCATGTATTTTGGACAAGCATGGGATTATGACTCTCCTAACAATATGCTGGCCAGTTTAAATAAGACACATGGCAGCAGATGCTTCCTAAAGTCCACTGCAAGAGGCAGCTTTTCCAGGGTGCTCATAGACTATAGTTTTGATGGTTGTCTACCTTTTCTTATCTCAGCCTGAGACTGTGTTCAGAATGGCCTTTATGATTTGATTATAAGTATAAAGCTTCCAAAGTCCTCTTCTACATATATCAACATGCATACTTATATTAACATATAATGTTCTTGTCAAATACATTTGTGATACCACATAAAGTTTTACTAAGGCCATAGTTCATTAGTTCCACATTAGGTTTATTTTCTCATACTTTTTACTGTATGTTCAGAATTATCTGCTCTTATAGAAAATGGAGACATTTAATATTTCTTACTATTATTGCTTAGCATGTAAATATAAAACTTCTTGTGTTATTTGAGTGATTTTTATTTTTAATATGTATAGGTGGGTGGGTATGTGCATGCCTCAGTGTTTGTGGTCATAGGGCAACTTGGGAGCATCGATTTTTCTCCTTCCACCATGTTGGACTCCAGTAGTTACCTTATAAAGGGTAAGAATGAGAAGGAATGCCTCTTAGTATTTCTCTGAGTTACATATATGAAGTTCCTGAATAAGTGTTGGAAGTAGAGTGTATATAGTGTGTATGTGTGTGTGTGTCACGGGGGGGGGGGTTGTACACGTGGAGAGGAAGGACAGAGAGGGAAAAGGGGAAAGTGGTAGAGTTATTAGGTGGACGGGAGCTTTGTAGAGACAGCCAAGGAAGGTTGTATTCATGCTTGAATATGACCAAAGTAAGGACCTTCAAGGTTGTCATCTGGAGCTGGGTTTAAGGAAGATGGGCTAGTTTAAGAGGATTTACTAAGGAACACAAGATATCCTGCAGTTAAGGGTCCATTGAAGCCTGGATCTAAGAAATCTAGGAGTCAGAAGTTAAAACAAAGGAGATCCACTTTCAGGATAGTGTTATAATTTAGTGTGGAATGGAGTAGTCAGCTTTTACCATCTAGACATTTGTGCAATGACCAGGTTTCGTTGCAAAAGAAATAAGTTGTTCCTTTTTGAGGGTCAGAATCAAATTTAGACTCATTGTTATGATTTTATCACAGGGTTGATTGAGAGGGAATGGATGGTATGATACCCATCCTGGATCCTAACAGTGTGTAGCATTATATACGGTGTGCCCTACAGGGTGGTAAACCTCAGAAGAGGGTTTCGGAACCCTTGGAACTGGAGTTACAGGTAGTTGTTAGGTGCCATGTGGGTGCTGGGAATTGAACCCAGGTTCTCTGCAAGAGCAGTCAGTGCTCTTAACTGCCGATTCATCTCTCTACCCTTTACCCATTTCTTACACATATATGGGATTTTTTTAGGACTCAGTTGCCTTTGAGGTGTGGTCTTATACATATATGTGGGATGTTTTAGGACTCAGTTGCCTTTGAAGATGTGGCTGTGAACTTCACTCAGGAAGAGTGGGCTTTGCTGGATTCTTCTCAGAAGCATCTATACAGAGATGTAATGCTGGAAACTTATAGTAACTTTGCTTGTATAGGTAAGAATATTATCATTCCTTCACTTAGTTATTAGAGAACAAGTTTAACAAGTTCTTATTATCAGTGCTCTTCTCTGTTTTGAAATGTAGACAGGGCAGAATTTGGTGGATAAATTAGGAGCAGTTATAATGAACATACTGGAAATAATAATTTTTATGTATTAACAAAGTGATTTTTCATAATTATCTGGGCTTCTATTTTAGGAAACAAATGGGAAGACCAGAACATTGAAGACCAGTACAAAAGTCCTAGGAGAAATCTAAGGTAATTTGAATGCACAAGCAGAAGCAGATATCCCATGAAGTAATCTTAATGTATTATGAAAATCGAATAAAGAGAAAAGAAATAGGCGAAAGTTTGAATTTATTCATCATTAGCAAATTTTCATAAAATTTATGTGTAGTTCCATATCAGAAAGTTGTTCATGCTGGGTATAGTGGTGCATGCCTTTAGTCCCAGCACTCAGAAGGCAGAGGCAGGTGGATCTCTGTGAGTTTAAGGCCAGTGTGGTCTACATAGCATGTTCCAGGCCAGCTGGAGCTACAGGGAGACCCAGTCTCAAAAAGACCAAAAAATAAGAAATAAAATAAAAATTTAAATAAAAATGTTCCATTTTCAAAATAGCTCTGTAGCAACCATATCAGAGAATCTTCAGACTGTTCAGATATAACAGAATGCATAAATTTTTTCTTACTTTGAGACAGTGTACATCTAAGACCAACTAATTGTTAAAAAGTGTTAGAAAGACAAGTATTGCTAATGTGCTTTTCATTGTTTTTACAGAAGGTACATGGCTGAGAGACTGTTTGAGAATACAGAAGGTAGTCAGTATGGAGAAGTCTTCACCCAGACATCAAAACTGAATATAAGTGCAAAAATTTCTACAGATATAAAAGCAGATGTCCAAGATAAAGATGGAAAGATGCAATATAAATATGAACAGTTTTGGAAATCCTTAAATTCTGTTACAAGTATTCAAAGAAACATGGAATCCCTCAATGAGAGTAGACCTTATAAGTTATGTTTAAAATCTTTTGGTTTTCCCGGTTTACTTGGAGTGCATCAAGAAATTTACAGTGTAGAGAACCATTATGAATATAAAGAATGTGTAAATACCTCTGTTTCTCCTAGTTCATTTTGGACATATGAAAGAAATGTAGATATCTATCATGAACATGAACAGTTTAGTAAAGCTCTGAGTTCTTTCAATTCCCATGAAAATCATAAAAGAATTAATACAGGAGAAAAACCCTATGAATATAAACTATTTGATAAGTCCTTCATTCATCCTTTATTTCAAATGCACGGAATAACCTATTCTGGTGAAAAACCCTTTGAATGTGAACAACGTCTTAAAACTTTTAGAAATCACAATTCTCTTCAAAAACATAAAATCTCTCATACTGAAGATAAGCTATATGAATGTAATTATTGTGATAAAGCATTCGTATATCAGAGATCCCTTCAATCACATGAAAGAATTCATACTGGAGAGAAACCTTATGAATGCAAGCAGTGTGGTAAAGCTTTCAGAGTTAACAGTTCCTTTTGGCGCCATAAAAAAGTTCATACTGGGGAAAAACCCTATGGATGTAAGCAGTGTGGTAAGTCCTTCATTTATCCTTCTTTACTTCAGATGCATGAAAGAACTCACACTGGTGAAAAACCGTATCATTGTAAACAGTGTGGTAAGGCCTTTAAATCTCACAGTTCTCTTCGAGTACATGAAAGATCTCATACTGGGGAAAAACCCTATGAATGTAAACAGTGTGGTAGGGCCTTCATTTATCCCTGTTTACTCCAAATACATGAAAGAATTCACAGTGGCATCAAACCCTATGAATGTAAACAGTGTACCAAAGCTTTCAGACGCCTCAGTGACCTTCAAGTACATGAAAGAACTCACACTGGAGAAAAACCTTATGAATGTAAGCAGTGTACTAAGTCTTTTATTAATCGATACTTACTTAAAATGCATGAAAGGTCTCATAGTGGTGAGAAGCCCTATAAATGTAAGATATGCAGTAAAGCCTTCATTTATCCCTCCTTACTTAAAATGCATGAACGGTCTCATAGTGGGGAAAAACCATATCCATGTAAACAATGTGGTAAAGCCTTCATTTTCCCCTCTTTACTTAAAATCCATGAACGATCTCATACTGGTGAAAAACCCTATGCATGTCAACAATGTGGTGAAGCCTTCAGAAGTTACAATTCCCTTCAGAGACATAAAATAACTCATACTGATGAAAAGCCTTATGAATGTAAGCATTGTGGTAAAACCTTCATATGTCAGGCATCGCTTCAGTTACATAAAAGAACTCATACTGGAGAGAAACCATATAAATGTGAACAATGTGGCAATGCATTTAGGTGTCACAATTCCCTTCAAAGACATAAAATAATTCATACTGGGAAAAATCCCTATGAATGTAAACAGTGTGATAAGTCCTTCATTTATCCCTATTTACTGCAGATACATGAAAGAATTCACACTGGTGAAAAACCCTATGAATGTAAACAATGTGGTAAGTCCTTCACTTACCCTTCTTTACTTCAGATGCATGAAAGAACTCATACTGGAGAAAAACCCTATAACTGTAATCAATGTGGTAAAGCATTTAAATCTCACAGTTCCCTTCGAGTACATGAAAGAACTCATACTGGGGAAAAGCCCTATGAATGTAAACAGTGTGGTAGGTCCTTCATTTATCCTTGCTTACTCCAAATACATGAAAGAACTCATACTGGTGTCAAACCCTATGAATGTAAACAATGTGGTAAATCCTTCAGAGGTCACAGTTCCTTTCGGGGCCATAAAAAAATTCACAGTGGGGAAAAGCCCTATGAATGTAAACAATGTGGCAAGTGCTTCATTTATCCATCCTTACTTCAAGTGCATGAAAGAACTCACACTGGTGAGAAGCCCTATGATTGTAAACAGTGTGGTAAAGCCTTTAAGTCTTACAGTTCCCTTCGAGTACATGAAAAAACACACATTGGAGGAAAATCCCACGAATGTGACCAGTGTGGCAAAATCTTCAGACGTTATGGTTACTTTCAAAACCATAAACAGATTCATGCTTTAGAAAAGCCCAATGAATGTAAACAATGTGGTAAGTCCTTTATTTATCCCTCTTTACTTCAAAAGCATGAAAGAACTCACATTGGTGAAAAAACTATGATTGTAAACAATATAGTGAAAACTTATGGAGGGAGAACATAAGCCCCCTTTTACTAGGAAAACAGTTTTATGAATATGAACAATGGTGAATCCATTCACACCTCCTGGTTCTTTTCAGATACAGGGACGAGCACATTCCTGAAATAACTATGAATATAAACTGGTAAAGCTTTCAGAAGTTACCATTTCTTTCAGTTGTATGAAATAACAATGGTAGAAGAACAAGTCTGTGAATGTAAACAATGTGAAAATTTTCAGACTTCCAACTTTCTTCAAATGTATGGAAAAAATCATGGAAATCAATTTCTGTTATTAAAAAGGATGAAGCCTACATTTGTTGTTTCTTTGAGATGTTCAGAGTACTCACTGAAAAAAAGTCCTGTCAAAGAAAATGTGTTACAATCTTCAGTACCATTTGATGTGGGATTAAATGTATGTGCCACCACTCTTGGGTGAAACATCTTTTTATTTTTTATTTTATTTATCTATTTTTTTTGGTCTTTTTGAGACAGCGTCTCCCTGTAGCCCCAGCTGTCCTGGAACTCACTAGGTAGACCAGGCTGGCCTTGAACTCATAGAGATCCGCCTGCCTCTGCCTCCCGAGTGCTGGGATTAAATGTGTGTGCCACCACGCCTGGCTTGAAACATCTCTTTAAATATAACTACAGTATGAGAACCTTACTGGAAAGAGAGCCAGTGAATTTAAGCATGTAAGATCCAGGTTATTGTGGCCTGTTGTTCCCCAAACTCTAGATGTCCATAGTATATTGAACTACATAATATTAGCAGTGGTAATGATGAAAAGCATTTGTATATCAAAGATAGATTGATGTAAATTTTTATAAGGGTATTCTATAAAGAAAAAAGCTACAGTGAAGGCCATTTACCATGAGTGGAACTTTGAAGCCTACAGATTGCTCTGGATGATTCAGTGAATATGAAGTTTGCTGTATACTTGTATAAAACATAACTTACACTAAATTTATAAAAATATTTTCTCATGACCGAGTGGCTTATCCTGTAAACATTAAAACTTTCCATCCTTTTGCCCCCCGCCCCAATCCCGCAATAAGGTCTTTCGTATTTTAAGGGGCACCTGGCTGGATATTAACATGTATAGCTGATAGCCGTTTAGACATTTGTGATACTTAAAATACACATTGTTTTTCTAATGTACTATTTTTATTTTGTGTGTATGAGTATTGCCTGTATGTGTATAAGTGTGCCTGTTTCTTGCAATGCCTGCAGAAGTCAGAAGGTATCAGATCCCCTGGAACTGGAGTTAGAGATGGTTGTTAGTTGCCATGTGGGTGCTGGGATGTAAATCTGGATCCTCTGGAACAACAGTCAATGCCCTTAATTGCTGAGCCATCTCTTCAGCCCTTAAAATACACATTGTATAGTTGCATAAAGCTATGTATTCTTTCCTTAGGTTTTTCTGTACTTCATTAAATTACCATGCCATGGGGAAGACAAATAGGATAATTAAATAAAAATCTGTGTGTGTACACCTGTTGTGCCTACATGTATGTAGTGCACCCATGTTGTGCAATGCCATTGGAGGCCAGAAGAGGGCAGCAGATCCCCTACAGCTGAGTTACAGATGGTTGTTAGCTGCCATGTTAGTGCTGGGAACCTAACCTGGGTCCTCTGGAAGAGCAGCCAGAGCCCTTAACCACTGAGCCATCTCTCCACCCCCCAGGATAATATTTTTATGAGTTAAATTGATTTCAGGAGTATGGCACTAAAAATGCTTGCATAACCAGTCTCAGTGTAATTGGGTGACGTTTAGCACTATTCTTTTTTGCTGTATTTAATCTTCAGAAATTAAATGTAACTTTCATTTATTTAAATAAAATTTTGTTATTGTATGTGTATGCATGTACACATAGCACAATATGCAAGTGAGGGTTAGAGGACAACTGGAGTCTGTTTTCGCCTTCCTCTATGGTCATCCAAGGTTCAAACTCATATACTGCAGGCTTGTTGATGTGCTTTTACTAGTGAGCCATTACACTGGCTGTAACCATAGCTATTTAACTATATTAAATACGGCAACACTTAACATTTTAACAGTAGTGAGTATAGTTTTGTGTGTTAATATTGTAGAAATTGAAGGTGTTTGGCTCATTACACAGCTGAACACTGATATCAATCCATGTCTTCTGTTGTTAAATCTGTAGCATGACATTACCTTCAGCAGAAGGAAACCAGGAGACCTCTTCATCTTAATTTATGTTAAGGAACACAACATAACAGTAAAGGATCACAGCCTGGGCACCCTGATGTGACCTGCACCTCCTCTGTCCAAACCAGGCCCTCAGATGTGACAATCTGTTCTCCACTTCTAGATGTTTGAAGGTAATACCTAGAATGACACACAGGTCTTCAGTTTTTCCCCCAGTTCACCTCCATTCATAGCAGAAAAATAAAACACTAGGACATTCAGTACTGATATTGTTGATAATCATTGTATCATGATGATTAATATTCCAACCTGGATTTAGAATCACCATGAAAACAAGCCTTCAAACCTGTCTGTGAGGAAGTGATGATGCTAAGACATCCATGGATACTTCCATTCTGTTCCTCAGTAAGCTACAGCAGAGAGCTTTGCTCAATACCAGAAGATGGATCAGATAGGAAAATGGCCAGGAAGTCCAGGGGAACAATGTAGTGATCATTAAAGACACAACTACTAGGCTATAATACTATTCAAAAGACTTCTGCTGTTTTGTAAATCTATGTCCAAGAGGTTTGAGGGATACATAGTGCCTACATGTAGCTCTCACATGGCATGCATTTATGCAGCATGGAGTTTGTGATCAGTCCTTGATAGTTCTACACTGGAAGTTTAAAAGAATTTTAACCAGTGTAAAAAGGTTTGTCTTTGTTCCCCGTACCAATAGGATACAGTGTGTGGAGGTAATGCTTCATTTTTTTCAATTCCATCTTCCAGCTTGCAAGTCACATTCATAAATCATGAGACAAGAGTCTCTTGACCCCACAGATAAAGCTTGGGGCCTCAGATTCTGTTTCACTGCAACATCAGTTTTATTAGCCACTGGGTGACCACAGGAATGACATATAATTCAGGAGCAATGTATAAAGGGACTGGGTATGAAGAATGCTATTCTGGAAACTATTAAATAGAAGCATATGCCTTGTTTATTATTTGAGAGTAGGTTTTATGTAGTACAGTTGCCTTGAACACTATGTAGCCAAGGATGTCTTTGAATTTATCTTCCTGCCTCTATATCCAAATGGTGATTACAGGCATGTACCACCACATCCAGTTTATGTGGCACTGGGGATCCAATGAAGTTTCTCCTGTAACCTGTAAACACCAACTAAACCATATCTCTAGCCCCCAGAAGCAGTATATATTTTGCATTATTGATTTTAACCTTATTTCAATACCTGATGAGTTTTATCTGATCCAGGTCTTGTTCTGGTAAATATATGGCTGTGTGTTTGATACTTTTTTAAATTGGTAAATTCCATCAGAATCCCATGGATGTTTACCTCTTAGGCCAGGTAATCTGTTACATCTTTAAAAGTAACAAGTAGTGAGAGCAGAACAAGTTTAGGTTGTACCTCTGATTCACAGAGGTGTGTGTGTGTGGGGTAATAGTGGAGGTCATGTGACCAGTGTGTTGCTCAACGTGTATTTATTGAAACATGAATAGAAACTCATGACTTTGGGGCTGGAGAGGTGGCTCAAAGGACCTGAGTTGGGCACCACCCATGTCAGGTGGCTCATAACCACCTGTTACTAAAGCTGCAGAGAATACCCTCTCTTTTGAACTCCCAAGGACACTTGCACTTTCTGCAACCAGTTTTCTTACATTTCTGCTTGTAGTACCTTTTCTCCTAGCTCAGATCTAGCCAGGACAGATGAGAACTCCCATTCTACCTCCTCTTCCTGTTTAAAGGAGCCATTCCTCTCTGTGGGAGCTTCCAGGTGAAGCAATCCCAGGATGAAAGAGGCCATTGGGAGTGTTGGGAAGGAGACCTGGAAGAACACTTCATTTTTGGTATTAATAATTGTTGCCTTTTTTCTTTGTTAACCTGGGTTCATATTTATCCATTTTCTTGGTGTTTTTATTGAGCTTTGTGTGAGTTTTTTCATTGATAACGTTTTCAATTTTATTGTTAAAGATTGATTTAGATTCATATTGCTTTCTCTAGGGTCAGAAAATGGAACATTACATCAATTTTTTTGTAAATTTTCATTGAATTTTTGTGTATTTCATACAGAACATCTTAACTTCATGTCCCCTTCCCTATTGGCACCCTCCCATACTGTCCCCCACTAGAATTCATACATCCTGTCATTTAAGGTCTATTGTGTCAAGTTAGTGTCCCACGACATCCCTCAGTGCAAGTTCATCCACTGAGGTTTGGTCAGCTGATCTAGTGTTGCTCCCTTTAAGAAGATCAGCTCTTTCTCACCCAGGGGTAATCACCTGCCAATAAGTCTTTGAATAAGATTGGGACCTGCTGCCCATTCCCATGGTTCTTTGCTGGATTTTTGTCTGCATGAGTTTGCATGGGTCTTGTACATGACACCATTGCTGTAGGTTCATATGAGCAAGGTCCCAGGAGCCTGAAGGACTCTATTTCCATATGGTCATGCACCTCCTCCCTGGCTCTTAAATTCTTTCCACCCCCTCATCCGCAATGGTTCCTGAGCACTGGATGGGAAGTGTTTAATATAGAAGTCCTGTTCAAGGACCCAAATTCTGCAGATTCTTATTCTCTACGCTTTGGCCATTTTGTTTTGTGTTCCTGACCCTCTGTTGCATGAAGAACTTCATTGATAAGAATTAAGAGATATATTATTGTTCTCTTTATGTTCCCTGAGCCTTAGGTGTTGAAGTTGCATTGTAGGTGTGCCAGTCAGACTTTGGCAGTTCACAGATCGTCTTTGTGTGTGACCAGTTGTGGAATTCTGTAGTAATCTCCATCTCTTGCAAAAGAAGCTTCTTTGATGGGTGGTGACTGGGATACTTGTCTGTAAATAAAAGGATCCATATTTTGCACATAGTAAGAAACTACGTTTGTCTAGGTATGTGACAGCCTTAGGGTTTTCTCTAAGATCTATGACCTGTACAGCAATGTGTATTTGTGTTTACAGGACCACACATTTGTTTCCTCCCACTGAGTGGGCTTTAAGTCTAATTAGGTATTTGTTTATTACTCCCAAGATAAAAGTGCCACTACTGCACTAATATCCTTGGCTGTGCCTGTCATTAATTTGGTTATTAGGCATTAAAGCTTTGGACCATTGATTGATGTTCTCCCTTAAGAGCTTTTGTAGTGCTCTCCAAAACTATGAGAGACTAGCCTTCAGGGGAGGTGGCTTCCAGGTCATTTTGAGGGCCATTGCTCTAAATCCTTTGTTCAAAGTATGTCCTCTCTTCAGCAAAAGGATCTTCAAGTTCTGTGAGGCAGTCAAGGA